TCAATATTTCTCACATAGGCACATCTAAAATGCTAACCATGACTGATAAACATTTGCTTCTAGATAAATTGCTTCATGTTCCTGAAATAAGGAAAAATCTTATAAGTGTTTCACAGCTCACCGCTGATAATCACATCTTTATGGAATTTCACTCTAACTATTATTGTGTTAAGGACAAATCAACGAGAAAAACGACGCTACACGGAAGGCTTAAAGAAGGGTTGTACCAGCTGGAACCTCCAAACATCTATCCTACATTACAGTCAAAGAATCCAAACTCATCATATCAGAATAATTACTGCAATTCAATGTTTTTAGTTGCATCAAATAGAGTCAAGAATCACGAGTCAAATAGCTCCCTGATCAATGTTTGGCACATGAGACTTGGACACCCATCTAGTCAGGTGATGTCCCAAGTTCTCAAAGATTGTAATCAAAACTTGAAAATGAATGAACACAAGTTTTTCTGTGATTCCTATCAGTATAGAAAATCACATCTGTTGCCTTTCAACACATCAAGTTCATGTGCTAAAACTCATTTTGAACTCATTCACATAGATGTATGGGGACAGTCACCTATCCTCTCTACCTTTGGTTTCAAATTTTACATAGCCTTCGTTGATGATTTTAGTTGATACACCTGGATATATCCAATGAAAAACAAATCTAATTATCTGAATATCTTCATTCAATTCCAAAAATTTGTTGAAAATAAGTTTGATAAAAGAATTAAAATCCTCCAATTTGATTGGGGAGGAGAATAAAGAAGTTTTGTCAATCATCTCTCACAATCAGGAATAGAGTTTAGACATCCTTGCCCACACACGTCACCTCAAAATGGAAGAGTTGAAAGAAAACACCGTCACATTGTAGAAACTATCTGACTTTACTTGCTCAAGCCAAAATACCACTAAAATACTGGGTGGAAGCCTTCTAGGCTGCTACCTTTCTCATTAATAGAATGCCCTCACAAGTCCTTCAAATGCAATCCCCTTATCAGGTGTTGAACAATAAAAGGGATGACTGACTACACATTCCTTAAAGTATTTGGGTATTCATGCTATCCTTGCCTAAGACCTTATCAAAGGCATAAATTCAGCTTCCACTCAGTCAAGTGTGTCTTCCTAGGCTATAGCTCATCTCACAAAGGCTACAAGTGCCTCAGTCCTACTGGCAAAACCTACATATCTAGACATGTTATCTTCAATGAGTTTGAATTTCCATTTGAGTCAATCTTCCTTGCAAAAGATAAATCAAAGTTTCTTGAACAAACTGTCATATCCTTTCTCAGTCACAACTTCCATTTTTCACTCCTTCCACAGAAAAAAGGTTCAGTTGATGCCACCCTTTTTGAAGCTACACCATCGGCGGAGTTACCTCATGATGAGTTCAACATTACAACTGAAAGAGAAATCTCCAATGACCAACCTGAACCTGAGCAAAATGATGAATCAACTGATAATGAAAATATTGAAGTGAGAGACCAAAGCATCAGTGAAATGGAATTACTATCAGAACACAGTGATAGAAGAGGTGAAACTGGGCACTCCATGATAACAAGAGCAAAAGCTGGTATCTTCAAACCTAAAGTCTTATCCAGTCAGGCAATCGAAGGTAAACTAAGTAGAATTGAACCTGAAAATCCTACTCAGGCCTGGAAGGATGAAAACTGGAAGAAAGTAATGATTGAGGAGTACAATGCACTGATCAGAAATAAGACATGGAGATTGGTACCCCCATCTCCATCCTACAACATAGTGGGAAACAAATGGGTGTTCAAGTTAAAACAAAATTATAATGGATCATTTCAAAGGTTCAAAGCAAGGTTAGTTGTAAAGGGTTTTCACCAAACTCCAGGGGTTGATTTCTATGAGACATTCAGTCCAGTATTGAAGACATCTACGCTGAAAATCATTCTCACTCTTGCAGTCTCAAAGGATTGGAAAATAAGGCAAGTAGATGTCAACAATGCTTTTCTCAATGGTGATTTGGAGGAAACCGTCTATATGCATAAGCCATATTGCTTTATTGATAAAATAAAGCCCAAACATGTCTGCAAACTTGATAAAGCCTTGTATGGACTCTAGAAAGCACCAAGGGCTTTGTATGACAAGCTGAAAAACACACTAACTGACTAGAAGTTTCAGCAATCAAGAGCAGACACTTTACTCTTCTACTTCACAACAGAAAGGGATATAATTTTTATACTTGTTTACATGGATGATATAATAATCACTGACAACAATAGTGATCTACTGCAGAGCTTTATAAATAAACTCCACAGGCAATTTGCTCTTAAAGATATGGGTGAGCTTCATCATTTCCTACACATAGAAGTTCACAGGCATAGTGCAGGAATCCATCTGACTCAATCACAGTATATATGTGAGTTGCTCAAAAGATTTGATCTTCAGAACATCAAACCATGTCCTACACCTAGTGCAGTTGGAAAAACAATGTCTAAAACCGAAGGTGAAGTCCTAAAAAATTATTCAGTCTATAAGAGTGCTGTTGGAGGTTGATAAGTGTGTTTTTACACACTTATTTAGTACTCTTTGCAATTAATTAGAATTGAAATTGAGTTGATTTCTACGCTTAATGGTGTAATTTTGTATGT